ATATCTTTCTCAGACATATATGCTATGGAGACTATCATGTCTCTTTGTGAGCCACAGGTCTAGGAACTCTGTGTTAAGAGTCCAAGTCCAGACATAAGATCCTGAGAGGAGTTGGAGAATCTCATCTGTGGCATTAATGGCAGAATAAGTATAAGGTCAGCCTGCTAATCACCTGCCAATCTAGACGTACACATGCCAAAGCCCATTCAGCCTTTCCCAGGGACCACCAATATTCTCTCAGGTCAATTACCTTAGGGCAGTAATTACTGGATTCAGCTGTTTCAGAAAAATTCGTTTCTGAAAGACCAGCTTCCCCCAGCACTTTGATTTTCTCTTGAATCATTGGCCTAGGAGAGATAAACAGATATTACTGAAGGGAAGAAAATATAATGCAAGGACACTGTGTCATTTACTCTCTCCATAAAAAAAAAAGATAAAATAGGGCACAAGGATGTCTTTTCCACCAAAGCTTGCTAGTTCCTTAACCTGCCCTGCTCTTGTTTATGATGACTGTATACTGTCCTGGGATATCAAGCAATCCAATTTAATTAAGTAATAAGACAAGGATTTCAGGCTATAAATAGTTGGAGAACACACATATCCAACAGCAAAAACAGTTGACTGAGAGAACACCAACTGTACGAAGCCAGAACAAGAAGGTGCAGCTAAAGGGAATCCCAAAAGCCTGTGTGTTCAGTCTCCAAGGTAAGCAATGGTAATCCCCATGAACAGTTCCAGGGGACCTCCTGGTGTATTGCAGGAGAAAGAATCCATCACCAGCCAAAGAGGCCAAGAAGTCCCAACTGCACCTGCAGACTTGACACTTTGAAAGAGGCAAAAGCCACAGCACAATTAATGCATTTACCAAACAGCCCTGTCATCATGTTCTTTTTCTTGCCTTTAAAACGGATGCCACTGTCTTTTTTTTGAAGAGCCACATTTCCTTCCCATTAAGCACTAATTACTGCACGGACAGCATTTCACAAATAAAGGCAGAATTACTGTCATGAACTTTCCATGAAATATGGGCAATGCATCAGTTTCCAGATCTCTGCATTGTAGGGTTATAATTATTTGCCATCACGATATTCTGGGAACAGCACAAGTTCACTTAGTTCATGCATTCCTTTAAACAAGGTAATAAAGATGTAATTTTGGACTCTAAATGAACCAGCTGGTGGATAATTTCTCTTCATCATTTGCAGGTCAGTTCCCTTGCAGCACTAAGGACACCTCAGATCCTCTCCTTCCCCCACGATGTCAGATTTCCCAGCCCTAAGGACCTGTGTCCGCTGACTGCTCTGACCGCAGCCAAAAAGGCTCAGACCACGATCTCCCGAGGTGGGTCAGAAGCACTTCTCTAATCCACCCAAAGGACTCAGTAAAGAGCAAGAGGAGAGCAAGAGTGCAGTCCTCCAGAGCTCCCTGTCCAAGCAGTCAGTAGCCAGACTGCTCCTCAGACCTGATTCACAATACAGTGAACCCTCTCCAGTGCCTACTGACCTTGCTTGAAAGTACTTGGCACTTCACAGCACCCCAGCACATGAGCCTTCTGGGCGGTATCTAGTACAACTCCTTCTCTTTACACAGAGGCTACGAAGGTTTTAGATGCATCAACTCTCCCACAATTTCTCCTTTGTCAGCTAACCGCCTTTATTCCTCCACCTTGTCATCCACCCAGTTATGTCCACGGTGACCAGGCCATGTCACCAGCTTAACCCATCCCTGATGGGCAGTTCCTGCTCTTCACCTCACAGGCTGTAGAAATCAGCACTAACATTAAGCACCTTATATCACATACATGACAAACAGGGAAAACAGGCGGCAGGAGAACCAAAGTGTCTTTCTCACTTCCTACCATAAGTAGTCATCTGCCGTGCCTTTAGCCACAAGGTAGTGAACGTTAACAGAGCTGGTCTGTCCAATTCGATGTGCTCGGTCTTCTGCTTGGATCAAAATCTTTATGTAAAAACATGACACAGAAAATAAAATGAGAACTGCAACATGTAAGAAACAGTTAAAGCACCAGAGAACAGGGAGATCTCATTTCTTGTGTTTAGGAACTATTTCTCATCTGGATCCTGTTAACACCTGCACCCTCAGGCACAGACTAAGCCAAGAAACAATCAGGTGCACCAGGTTCCCAGCAGGCACCGCGCTTTTTTCAGAAGTAAGAGAGTCAGCACTGATGAATGACTCTTTCAGGTCTTGGCTGGGCAAGTGGTTGGGACCTCTGTCAAATTAAGAAACAGGAGCATGTCTCCCTTTCACGCCATCCTTCCCAGTCAGCAAGCTGGCTCGAGTGTAACCAGCCTCACTGGTTCAAGCCAGGGACCTGAAAGTGCACCGACAAGTAACCATCAGAGAAGGAAAAAGAAAATCCCTAGAGAAACTCCACTGCCCGTTACATCTCCTGCTAAGCACCAATGTTTCTGGTCTCCAGGGAGCACGCAACCCCTGTTCCCTCCAGGACGCATACCCCCGGGTTCCAGAAGAGCTCTGCAAACACGACCAAGTCTGCAGCAGACAGTGTCAAACCCATGTTTGCGGCTGTGAGGGACAGGACAGCCACCATCTGCTTCTCTGAGAACTGGAACTTCTGGCACAGAGACTGCCGCTCGGCTGAAGATGTGGAGCCATCGATGCGAATGTATTCAACGTGCTGTGAAAAGGCAGAAGACACTTTTCAGAGACCTTGTATCCCCCTTCCCATATACTCCTTCCATGTTTTAGGGGATTCTATTTCTCTTCCCCATGGCAGAAGCAGGAAAGTAAAAAGGCAACGGTTGTATTTTTAAGACCTTTCCTCATTATTAAGGCAGAGGCACTGTAGCTCAGCACATAATGTACCTCCCTCTCCGTTCACAATGTGTGACTTTTAAGTCCATTGCTCTCCCAGCAGTCCTGAGCAATAGGAAGAACAGCAACAAGGTGGCAACTCCAGTACAGTGGGAAAGCAACTGGCTTAAGATGAAGCTGAACAATGCCTGTGTGCTGATGTTACAGCTGCAACAATCTCCCCAAACTCAAGTCTTCCCCTGTATGCAATGGGAGGAAATGGGATCCTACATATCTCAGTTGCTCTGTGGTAGGCTCAGGAGAGGCATGGCAAACTTGGGTGAGGCAGGGCTGTAACTCCTCAGCGTCCAACCTCGTTGCTTTCCTGGAAGATGCTGTCACAGAGGCAGTAAAGTCACCACTGTGGTTTATAGTTTGGAATATTAAACGATCCTTCACACTGCTCCAGCACGACCCAGAACTCTTTAGGGGCACCCATGGATGTCTCATGTGAATAATTAGCCAAACACTCTTGAAAGCCAGAGAGGTGACTGACAGGTCTATCAAGTTGTTCTACAGTATCCCAGTTCAAAAATGTAGGAGTACGACAGAGATAAAGGGAAGGTAACATCACAGCTGGACTTGAGTTGTTACACTCTCCCTCTCTGAGGAAAGCCTGGAGGACAAAGCAGAGATGGCTACGCAGCTGTAATGCTCCTCCAAGAAATCACAAGCTCCAGGGCAGGCGATGCAGATTACAGAACATTAAATACAACAGAAGCCATTCAGCTCATACTAAGTGCATCCTGTGAGGCCCTCACCCTGACAGCTCAGCTCCCTCAGCGAATGGCACATGCAGAAGCACAGCAAGCAAAAATTATGCCACTAACTTTCATAAACTATGTAACTGGCCAGAACTCTGGGGAGCTCTTTAACAGCTTTGAAGCTGGAATAGAGATAAAGTCAAGACATCTCAGTCAATTACTTACTTTCTTCTCCAGTTCTGCAACTATTGCATCCAGCATTATCTTATGATGTGCAAACACCAGGAATTTACGATTCCCACTTTCCAGTAGCTCCAGGATGTATTCTCTACATGAAAGAGGAAAAAAAAACCCCTGAAACTCTATAAAACTGTGTGCTGAGAGAACGCAGGCTTTGCTCACATCAAATTTTAAAGACAGCGCTTTCCTATACAGAAATACACAGAACCTAGGAAATAGACTCACATCAAAAAGCTGCAATAAAATGCAAGTAGCAAGTCAAGTCTCTTATAGATTAAAAAAGACACTGGAGAAACACTCACTCATTTTTCTTCACTGCAGCTGGACAGTTGCCTACATTTATACTTGTTTATCACTGAGAACCAGTTTATTATATGCTACTTGAAACACGACACCTCAGACCAATCAACTAAGTCATCTATACTTATGTGATGATCTCATTCACCCTTTTGTATTTCTAACTTTTGCACAAGCACGATACATTAAGATAATCTGTATACAATTATCCTTCCTGTGTTTATTTAGGATTGTATTTATTTTAGAAGAAAAGGTCTCTAAACACATGGATCAGAGTATCCTAAAAGTAACTTTTCTTTGCAAGGGTTCACCTTGAGAATTCATTACAGCCTAACAACCTAAATACATCAGCTATTTCTAGGAATCATCCACATGTAAATAGGCTAATGACCAGTGAAAGGTAACAAGACTCATTTTAAATGCAATTATAAAGTGTTAAATAAAACATTTGGCTTTTACCATGGACTAATAACAGAGCTACAGAACCCATTTCTACATAGTAACCTGTGTTACAATCAGGTCAACTGGAGCCTGAAAAACACCTATAAGCCTAAAATTTGTAACTAAGCATAGCAACAGCCATCAGAACAGATAGTACAAATGTCACCTTTTCTTTGGAATGGCAAAGTTCTGGCAAACATCAGGAATATCAAGTTCTTTGCTAAACACAACACACCTGAGGTCAGCAGCAACTGTAAGAAAACACCGAGCAGGATTTCCAGCACTGTACTAAGAAGTATCAGTGCTTTGCAGACAGCTCACAGCTCTGTGACGTTCAGATCTGAACTACATGACAGCATCATTTAATAAAGAAATCTGGGAGGAAGTGGGATTGCTGGATTTTAAAGCAAATACCAAAGCAAACATTCAGCATAGCAAGCAGATGCCAACACAATGCAGTTATTTTACACCCCATTCCCACATTTCATTTAACAAATGCGTACTCATTTCAATGGAAGCAATGCAAGACCCTGTCGTCCAAGGTAAGACATGGGAGGTGCTGACAATCGTACAACAGTACCTGTAGCTGTACATTACATTTAGCTGTACTGTACATTAGCAGCTTATAACAAGTGGTATTTTAAATGCTAAATACTAAACCCCAGGAAAAAAATGGACTAGTTCCTACCAGATAGTCAAGTAAACACTTAATGGTCTTATATTCAATTCATACTTGCAACTGAAATAAAAGGAAGAAAGTCTTCTAACTGTTCACTAACATAAAAGGAAGAAACTCTTCCACAGAAATGAGCACTGGGACTCTGAAGCGCAGTTCTGTGCCAAACAGGCCAATTCTGCAGCAAAGGTCTGAGACAGCGAAATCACAGAGTGCATATCAGCTGATCCTACATTCAGAGAGCTGTGGAAAAGTAAACTGTTTTCATGTTATTAGCATGCTACTTATTAGTAAGTCATGCTCTATGACCTAAAGCAACTCATTTGCAGTCTCAGCAGAAAGGCAAAGCAAGAAAAGGCACAGAAAATCACAGAAGGAAATTATTCCTAGGGAAGATGGAGTTAAAAGCATACCTACGATAGAAAACTTCTGCTACTGAGGTCCCACACAAGCTCTGTGGAAGACCAAGAACTTCAACAGGGACTGTGACATCCTTAGAGCACACTACAACTAAACCTCAGTCCACCTCAAGCTTTTTGGCTTGGGGCTCCTGCTGCAGCAGGACTGCAGCATTTGTCTTCTCAAATTCTGTTGATACTTCGAGTTTCATTACTCCCTCCCTCCTTAAATTGAAATAGGGTCCAGACTAGGGAACTCGATCCAAAGTCCCAAACACCAAGTAATTTTAGATGGTTCAACTGACAGTTTAGATCTGTATCTGGAATGAAATCGGAAGACTTACTCAGCCTAGGAACCCTGAGAGAAGAAAATGTTTAGTGCATTGTAATTAAAATCAATTTTTTTCTAAGCTGGCTCGAGGCTATGCTTCATGTCCCTGCACTGTTATCTCTAAGGCACTGTTTTCCTGTTCTCAGCGGAAAAACACATTTTACTAGGCAAGAATGAAGCAATAACATGCAGCTTACACGACCGAGTGGATTTTAGCTTCTGCCGTTCTGGCGTAGAAGAGGAGAAGAACTTCCTTCTCCTGTTGTTTCTGCAGAGAGAAAGATAAATAAATGTGAGTCAGAAATGCCTTTTCTCCTTCTCGCTTACAGATTTGGGATGTCTGCTGCTGCCAGTAAATTCTTTGCTAGGAAAAAATCAGCCTAAAAATGCACAACAAAAGGGAACTGGAGGGGGAAGTGTCCTACTCGCCACTGGGTATGGCAGATACTCACTCATATTTCTGACACCTCCTTTCCTACCTCCAACTCAACTCCTACAAGTTGGATGACATGCATATCGTAAAGATAGTTTTAGTTGAGAAAGCATTTTCCAACTACAATGGCCAGGAAAATCTCTTTACAGAACTGTATTAGCAACCTGAAGGTCTAGAACATGCATTTGCCACTCATACAAGAAAAACAAACAAACAAAAAGGCAAAACCACACCCTTGACATTTTGGGCTTCCACTGTGGTCACAACACAGCTTCAGCAAGGTGGTGTCTGTAGAGGATTACAAGGCAAGACAGAAGAGTAAGTACAGAGGCAGGAGGTAGAAAAGACAATTAGAGAAAGGACTAACACGAGAGGAAAAAGGAGAGAGGAAATGGTATTTCAGATGAAGTGACAGAAGCAGATCACTTAAAAACTGAGCTGTTTCGTGTTGTACATTCATTTAAAACTGTGCCTTCAACAGCCTTCCACTGCATCTTCACATGAGGTGTGGCTCTGACCTTCCATGTAACACAGGATACTGTTTCTCCACTGATGTTTTTATATAAAGGTACCTGAAATACCAGTAACTTATCATGAAATTGGTTTCCGACTTACACTTTTATGTCCTTTGGCCATCCTCTTTGCTTCAGCTGCCAAGGCAGCCTTGGTCTTCGCACTGATGCCTTCAGGAGCCACTATGACCATTTTGCGTTGCTTTGCTGGAAGCTGAGAAAGCACATCTGATTTCAGACGTCGGATCATGATGGACTCTTCCAGCAAAATTTTCAGTTCTGTTAAGTTGGACGATCCAGAGTAGTCCCAACCCCACGGCATCTGGAAAAGATCAAAGCAGTTATCAGTCTGCAGACTTACAAGTACACAATAAACTCCCACAGAATCCAGACAAGCAATAACTTAATGGTCAATAGGAAGAGATATATCTGACTCACATTTTTGTCCAGTAAGTATATAAACGAACTCACCAAATATAGAATCATAGAATGGCCTAGCCTAGAAGGGACCTTAGAGATCATCTAGTCCAACCTCCCTGTCATGGGCAGGGACGCCTCTCAACTAGATCAGGCTACTCAAGGCTCCGTCCAGCTTGGCCTTGAACACCTCCAGGGAGGGGGCAGCCACAACATCTCTGGGCAATTTATTCCAAAGTCTTGCCACCCTCGTACTGAAGAATTTCTTCCTAAGGTCCAACCTAAATCTATTCTCCTTCAACTTAAACCCATTTCCCCTTGTCCTATCAGTGGACACTCTTGTAAAAAGTCCCTCCCCAGCCTTCCTGTAGGTTCCCTTCAGGTATTGGAAGGCAGCTATTAGGTCCCCCCGAAGTCTTCTCTTTTCCAGACTGAACAATCCCAGCTCCCGCAGCCTGTCCTCCTAGCAGAGGTGCTCCAGCCCCTGGATCATCCTTGTGGCCTCCTCTGAACACGCTCCAACAGATCCACGTCCCTCTTATGGTGGGGGCACCTTTCCTTTTTTCCTATCTACAAGTGCTCAGGGGAGTGCAGAAAGGTCAGCATCTGTCCCATGGTACTGGGCCCTGAAGTTCATCCTCCCACAGCAAAGTGTACCTGCTCTCCTCCTGCAGCTTTGGGCAGGCCAGCAGAACTCACCGCAGTTCTGTGCACACACATGTTCCTCAGCTTTACACAGAGAGAGATACAAAATTCTTCTCTAGCAGCACAAGGACAGACACCCTTACCCCAAATGCCTCCACAGAGATGTTACACTTGTCTGACATGCCTGGTAAATGCTAGGTCAAATCTGCCTGTTTTCCACTGTGACCTGTCTTTTGATCTGCTTCCTGATATACTCTGTTTCTGCCGTTGCCACGTTTGGCTCAGACTCAAGCAAACCATAAACAGATTGTGGCCCAAAATACATCACTCCAAGCATTGTCTCCTCAAAGGATCGTCACTTCAAAGCTCCCCTGAACAAACTCTATTTACTCCTTGAAGCACTCGCCTCTGAACTTGCCCTGTCCTCCAAAATCCTGTGTGCAGACAATATATATCTGTTCACTTAATCTCAGCTCATCACTTCTACTAGTAACCCTACAGCCTATCATTTGTTCTCCAAGAGAGACCAACTAAACTGACAGTGACATCAAAATTGGTACATTCCCCAAAAGAAACATCTTTAAACAACTTTCTTTCTTTTGGACAGAGACCAAGGAGATTTTTATGCTGAAGTAAAAGATAAAGATACCTTTGTGCTGAAGTTTCACAAGTAAGTGTATGAAATACAGCAACAGTAATACTGAAAACCAAGGCAGGGTGGAAGGGAAATCTTCCTCACAGCTCTAATTTCAAGTCTTACAGCAGCATCACCAAAAAAAGCCAAAAAACCCAATCTCTGGTCTAGGAACAAGAACCTGAAGTAACCCCCTATGTACATATATATGTATATGTACATATATATCCTCCTGAAATGCATATAACGGAGATGTGAGGAGCCTCAGCACCAATCCCTTTGATCTGTTGCTCTACTCTCATTGCACCACATTAATTGCTAAAATAATTTAACTTCTAAAATCTATGTATCTTTTATTCACCTTGCCCAAGAGAAATCTGCTGCAACACAGAAATGAAAGTAAAACAGGAAAACGCTCCATCGTATTCACTGCACCCACCATCCCCCTGTAGAATGTGTGAGACAAAAAATAAGTCGTACCAGCTATAAGCTTAGTCACGTTACTGGCTGTATTAAGGGACGGTGCCTTGATGGAACAGGGATGAGAATATGTTATGAGAAAGAGGAAGAATCAAACTGCTTATAGGCAATTAAGACCTCTCTGTACCTGGAAGTGAACATTCCTACTTCAAGGTTGAGATGGGACAATCCGCAACTCTATTGCCGTGTTGTACTGATGTAAACCATTAACTCACTTAGATTCTTACGGCTGCCATTAAAACTCATTTGACTTAATCTATTCCTACATAATCATTGTACCAACTATAGACAGAGTTGGTTCATTAAAGCAGAGAACTTTTCAAACCCTAGACACAAAGTCAGTTTAACTGTAGAGTTAAAAAACTTTGGCTCTGGCAACAACATAGTGGTAATAAATCCACCTGGATCTAAGCCAAGCCTTCAAAAAGCCAGCACAGGTATTACTGCTCTGCTTCCCTGAAAACAGGAGAGTAGCACCGATCCATCCCCTCAGGCCCATGAAAAGCTGGCTCAAGTCTAGCTGGGTTCATTAGCTTTAGGCATGCTGCATGAAAGCGGACAGCGTTGAGCCCCAGACTTTGTGCCCCCTTTTTGCATTTCTTCAGGCTCTGTGGAGCCAGCCAGGCAGGTGTACAGAACAGACGAGGACCCATATCTGGTGCTGGACCCAGCCTCAGAACACCTCTGCCTACACAGCTCGGGACATCGGTAGGTAAGTAGTTGGGATCAACATTCCCCGGGCTGCTGAGCGAGACCTGCTACAGAGCCTGGACATGCTCCTCAGGCTGCCTCGTTCTACTCATGCAGCCCGTCTTTCCTCTTCCATAACAAGCAAGCAATACGTATGTTTTGTGTCCATGCAGCACAATTCCTTTCAGAAGAGGAACACAGAATCACAGAATGTTCGGGGTTGGAAGGGACCTCTGAAGATCATCTAGTCCAACCTTTATCCCAGCACACCTAACCACTACACCACAGCCTCAAGTGCTAGATCTACTTTTTTTTTAAACACCTCC